AAAAGGAGGCAGAATGAAAATGTGGAAAGTACCAGTATGTTATTGGCTTGAACTGCCTGCTGAGACTGTATGTATGTACTCTATATATCCTCTGGGGTTCTACAGAGTTTGGGATTCAGGATGCCTTTATAAATGCAGTGAGTCTATTTTCAAAGGTCCTCAGAAAACTTCAACGGGGGTAAAAGAGCATACCTATGTTTAGCAAGCCATCAATATAGCGGAGTAAAGTCCTAATTTAACAGGCTTCAGTTTAGCAGACTGAAGGTAAAATTTGTCTGTATGCTGTGCACTTCAGCACATTTGCCCTTTTACAAGTATAAATTGCACAAAATATCCTTGTGTAAAATCTCGTTTCCATTTTTTGCATAAAATAAGTAAAATACACATGAGTAAAATCCCATTTGGATTTAACAGACATACTACTTTAATGGACACCCCCTCTGCCCATGTGTCCACCAAATCAAGAGACATTACTGTGTATTTTCTAAAGGTCTTCCATAATGACAACTTCTGTTGATGTGTTTAGTTATCTGAACACTGACTCTTTTGTAGTTTCCAACTGTGAGGGCATCTGAAAGAGCAACTGGCTGGTTGGCCTGCTTATCTTTGGTGTTCTTTGCCATTACATTCTGGCATTGTCGTGTATCTTTCTGTCTGCAGAGAATTCAGAATGCACTGGAAAATGCAAAACATTAGACCAGCTTGCCTGCTAACCTTAGGTGTATATGTGTACTCTGTCCATGCCCTTGCACACTGTTCAAGCACTCCATGGTGCATTGTGCTGCAAAGGCGTGTCTGAATTGGCTGGCTGGACCTGTTTGCTGCAGTCCTCCTCTTCCTCCAGCATAAAAAGTTGTTTTGCTGAGCAAAAGTTGTATGCATGACTCTTCACAATTCTTTTGTTCTGTGTGCTGCTGGGGATGTAAATTTGCTTTTAGGATAAAAATGCTGGCAGCCAGCAGGGAGAGATTTTTTTTGTGTTTCTCAGGGTGGAACTTCATTCCTGAGCAGGAATTCTTTCAGTTCTTTTGCTAATGTTCCCATTTTATCGGGCAGAAACTGCAATTCCTTTTTTTTTTTTTTTTTTGGTGTCTGCTTTTGGCAGCCAACTAGTACCAGGTTGCCAAAAAAGAAAAAGAAAAAAAAGATTTGCAGGGCAAGCTTTAAATACTGTGGTGAAGGAAGACAGGCCATGTTTCTGACAATATGCAAGATTAGGTTTAGGCATATACAATTTAAACTAAGAAGAGGTTTACTTTAAACTCACGGGGCAAGATCACAACCAATGGATTAAAACTATATGGAAGCAGGTTCATCTGGAAGACCTCACTTTCTAGAGTTCTTCAAATAGAGGCTGGATACTCTGGTGCAGTTTCTCAACTTCAGTGACTTTAAGATGTGTGGACTTCAACTCCCAGAATTCCCCAGCTGGCTGAGAATAAGCTGAGGTTGAGAAACACTGCTCTAGTGGATACCACCCTAAGCAGGGGGTTGGAGTAGATTAAACTCCTTTCCCACTATCTTATTCTAAAACATTTGTTGAAAGAAATCCTTTTTATGATAATGGACTAAGTGGAATTAATTTTTTGCCAGGATGATCTCCTGCCCTAGTAATTGAATTGAAAGTGATTTTTGTGGTTACAGGTAGTTCTGCTTAACGATCGTTTGTTTAACGATGGTTTGAAGTTACAACAGCCTTGGAAAAAGTGCTCTACTGACATGACCATCACACCACCTCCTGTGGTCATGTGATTGCAATTTGCGACCTTTTTATGACAGTTGTAAAGCAAATCACTGTGGCCGTTAAGCGAATTTTGGCAAAAAAAAGTCTATTGGGGAAGATGGATTTGCTTAACGACCATGTGATTCACTTAACAGCTGCGATGATTCACTTTATGACCAATGTAAAAATGGTCATAAAATGTCCAGTCACGCAGTGACTCACTTAACGACCACCTCACCTTAACGAGCAATTTTCCGGTCCCTATTGTGGTCGTTAAGCAAGGACTACTTGTATTAAGGAGAGCCAGCATAGTAATCTCCCCTCATATTCTTTTCAATGTGTATACCCCTCAGGGCAAAGGAAGAAGGATAAACATGTACTTGAACACAAGGAATGCAACATAGATGATGAATAAAAATAAGGAAGCAGGAACTTTACTAGGTTCCAATTGCTTACTATAACCGAAACCCTTAAAACATTTTGAGCTTTGTTTCGACAAAGCATGAAACACCTAAAAACTAGTTCGAGTTTTGTTCTGCCCCAAACGAAACCAATTGGAAATGTTTTGATGGACCTTTAATCTTGAGCTCAAAGCAAAGCACATTTTCTGTGCCATGGACACCTCATCTTGATAACAAGACCTTCCTTACTGTTAAAAAAGCAGCTTCAAATTGGCGTAAGGATGAAAGATATCACAGAAACTTAAATGGTACCAGTTAGGTTGTGTGACATGCTATAAGCTTGGTCTTTATCAAACTATGTGGGTGTTGGTTACTTCTGGACCATAATGATGCTTATACAGAAAATGAGCTTTTGTCTCTAGCTTACTATCCATTCTGAATAAAGATCTTCCTTTGTTTCTTCTGACATGTGGCAACATATCAGCTGAATGGCACCTGACAAATGAATAAACTCTATCCGATAATAGTCAATATTATTCTTTACTCTGGCAGAGAAGCCTTATCAACAGCAGGGAAGAGCTCAGGGTAGTCCTGAGAATAGCTGGACAGAAGTCTGGGTTAAAAGCATTTTCCAAACTTCTCTACTGTTTAGCCCTCAACTACTGGTTGAGTCAGATTTTGCAGCTATGGTACTCTACTATGATTTCCTGGAATGTTTTTGTATCATCACTCCACTAAATGCATAGAAGATAACAAGTAGAGCATGTGAAATTAAAAGAGCAATCAAAGCAACACCAACCAATAAAAAAGTAAACGAAAGGGGAAATTGAAGAGTTTTAATGGAGACACACACACACACTTTTTTAAAGAAACTATTTCAAGTTAGCTGGGAAAATATGAAAAACACGCTCAACTGATCAACAGCTAATGCATGGGATAATACAGAAAGTGGGTAGGCTGATTTTAGGTAGACATTAGTCAACTCTCCCAGAATAGGCAATGTTATTTCCTTGAGATTAAATAAACCATTTCACCCAGCATCTATTTCTCTACTTTTAATCAGAGTCAAATACAGTTTGTTCATCTTCATTTTTCTCAAGGGAGACCTCAGAATTTGCACTGGCAATGAGATATTACTGGTACAGCAAAGACCTGAGCTCCTGGAATGAACTTACTTATCATTTTTGTACAGCTACTGATAAACGCTGGCAGAATTTGCCTGAATACGCCTCACCCCAAACAAGAGGAGAGAGATGGCATGTTCCATCATACCCGTCACCTCTTGTTGAATGACAAAAATTGAATGGGATACTCTTTAAGAAAAATTAGATCTTCAAAATATCACAGTTGAACTCTAGTGACCTTTGATTCAAAGTCACCAACATCAGACTGAAAATATCTGAGTGCTTTTGACAAGACAGAGTCTGAATTAAAGTGGTCCTGTAAAATGCTTCCAACATCTCTGAAGCATACTTCTATTTATTAGGGGAAATAAGTTTGACATTTTTCTGAAAAGGTCAGCCATGAACAATTTATAAAAATTATATTAATTTCTTTAGAGAGAAATTAATGTTACTTATGAGATCTCACAGCAGCTGACTATATTAGTCAACTATGGTGACAGCCTGGAGTAGGATCTGTAACTAAGTAGTTTAATCTAGCTCTTTAACTTGAACCAACTTGTTAACTTGTTTGAGAAATCCATAAATCCATTCTGCAAAATTTCTTCACATGCTCATGGGTTTAGAAACAAATCCTTACCAGACATGCACGTACCCAAGCACAATCTATCATAACCCTTCCCAATCTGATGGACATCTTGGATTATAATCCCCATCTCACTTTGTTAGCAAAGACAACTGATATGCTAGATGATGATGGGAGCTGTATTATATAATTTCTACAAGAACTCTGTCAGTTAATACCCTGTAAATTATTAATACAACCAATACACAGACAATGTTTGGAAGGCCCAACATCAAAGATCAGCATTTATTAAACCCATTTTCTGATTTCACACCCATTACTATTAAACCAGTTAAGATTCCATTTTTTAAATTAATCATACTTCTCCAGTCACTATCAAAACTAGCTGGAATAGTCAAAATTACCCTGCTACAGTAGAGCACACTTGCAACTTGCAATCCATCATTAGCTATTTTTTTCCCAGCCAAAACAAGTTCATTATCAGGGAGGATGTTAGCAATCTGCAACTAAGGCTGATTTGCCAGGGCAGACAGTGCTGTTTTACAGGGAACCGGATTAGTCTGGAGTGATTTCTAGCCTTCTATAGAGGTACAACAAAATGCACAGCCCTTGTGTTTCGTTTCAGAGAGTGTCAAAGAACTCTGTGAACTCTCGCGTTAGTAAAAACACAAGTATATTCCATATACTTAAAGACATTTACATGCAGAGTCCTTGGGGTTCTCTGAGCTTGGTTGTTTTCTTGCAGACGTTTCGTTACCCAGCTAGGTAACATCTTCAGTGCTAGATGGGAGTGGGGTTTGCTCTCTGTATATTGTGGCTACTGTATATAAACACAGAGCAAACCCCACTCCCTTCTAGCACTGAAGATGTTATCTAGCTGGGTAACGAAACGTCT